TTATAATAATACTAGTAAGGTAGGTGTGTGTGTGTGTGTGTGTGTGTGTGTGTGTGTGTGTGTGTGTGTGTGTGTTGGAGGTAGGAGGGTTATGACAAGACTTTGTCAGTCTCATCCATTGATGGCAGTAAAATGTGTAGAGAAAACTCCAACTGGGGCCATTCTACGAAGCAGAGGACTCTCAGGTGGGAAATTATCCCTTTAATTTGGGCCTTCCCTGCTGGTAGAGTCACTGATGTATCCATGTTATCAGAAGCAAATAGTTCCCAGTTCCTTGCCACTCACACTGGAAATGCAACTGCAGTGGGCAGACATGCACAACGCACCCCACACAACTTAATTTGGCCCTTGGCATTAAGAGTTTAAAGTCACTCATCAGGCCTGAATATTTTAAAACAACCCAGAATATTTCAAACATTCTGCTCTAATAGCCCCACAAAATAAATCCATACTTTTTAGCCTAAGAACTACATTTTTTTTTTTGCAGAAAATATGGCCACTGAAAATTTTGGGGATGGGCAGGTGATGCATTCAATGTCACAAATCAAATGTTTCCATTTTAAATTTTAAAATGGGGTCACTTTGTGTTTTTCTGGTTCCCTTCCTCCAAGAGAGACAAAATATGTTGGCTGTAAGTTACCCTTGTTATGTCCTTGAGATAGAAGATGTTTCAATAGACTGTTTCACAGATGGAGAAACGTGGGCTATATGTGACAATCCTTCAAATGATTTGAAAGTGAAAAGGAGTATGTGTGTTTAAGATATCTTTGATGAGAAGGTCCAAAGAATCCATGCATCCCCTGCTTGTGCAGCCCTGTTAGGACAAAACGGCTTTAACTAGTTCCTCTCTGTTCCTGTGGTGCCCTCAGTTAAGCTTCCAAGCAGACCAGACACTTGCTCAGCGCACCAACACACACACACACACACCCCACTCAAGAAAGCAAAACTAAATTTTTAAGTATTGAAAACTTGAAAACACTTGAAATTGTCCCTGTGCAGAAAATCACTCATCTGGAGGACTTAGATACACATATTTTATAATCTTGTACTTATGTTTTTATTTTGAGTTGCATTTCGTTGGAGGTGGTGGGAGGGCGTAATCTTTTCAGAGCAACTTTAATCTGAACCTGGAAGGGACTTATCTTCCTTGGAGAAGTTCATGTTCACCAGAACTGCTCTACCAGCAACCCTGGACTGTGGGAATGTAAATCTGGCACTAAGAACTGGGCCCGGGACACTAGCCCCAACAGCTGGGGACTGCGTTCCTCATTTGGCCCTCAGAAGACTGGACCATTAAGAGAAAGGTTTCCAGCAGAGAAGTCCAATCGCAGGACAATTTCTTAAAATCTGTAAAATGGTTTAAATTGTGGCCATGTCAACACACACTCACAATTTTTGATCAAATGTTTCGGATGTAGGATAAATGTCTGAGCTGTTCAGGGATTCCATGGTTCCCTAGTAGCACAGTTAGAACTTTAACTAGACTTTTCCATTCTGAGGCTAACACATAGGCCAACAGTGTTCAGAATCTTGGTGGCTGAGGGACCATTTGCAGTTTATTTTTATTCTCTAGAACTACATGGTTATAGGGAAACCTGGGATGAGACTTGCAGGTGATGAATCTGGCATCAAGATGCCTGCCTTCTTGAGCCATAAATTTTTTTGCTCTCCCAGCTACCTCTCGCTGGTGATCCTGGCATTCCTGGACACACTTCAGCAACCACTGCATCGAACATAGTCTTTTTTTATTAACCCATATTGCTAGTTGACCAATCATTGCCAATTTTGACCAACACAGTGTTTACATTGAAGAAACTTGTCCTTTGCTTCCAAGTCTCATTTCAGTCTTTTTTTCCCCCAGTGGAAGTACTGAGGATTGAACCCAAGACCTTGTGCAAGCTAACCATGCGCTCTACCACTGAGCTATACCCAACCTCCCCAACCTTGGTTCAGTCTTTACACCAGCAGTGGTTAAGGTCAAAACAAGCCCAGCATGGCTTTCAGGGATGGCGCTCATATTTGGGATGCATCTAAGCTGCCTGCTATATCCATACACGAACATCCTCAAATCAAGCTAATATTGTTGGCTTGATTCACAAAAACACCCGACATCTGTACGACAAATGAGACTACGATCAGAGCTCGCTCCTCACTCACAAAGCTTAACAAGCCATTTCCACGTCTTGGGTACCGGGTTTTGGAGGAGAGACAGCCCCTCCCTCGGGGAACTTTCTGAGAGGGAACAGCTTCCCTTCGTTAGCTCTGTCAAGAGTCATGCAGTGCTCTCTGTAACTGGAATGGTTTTCTTTGCTTTCTTGCAGCTGCTCTACTTTGTGCTGAGCGCCTTTGGCCTGGTGGTCTGCGTGCTGGCCGTGGCGTTTGCCGCCCACCACTATGCACAGCTCACACAGTTTACCTGCGGGACCACGCTCGACTCCTGCCAGTGCAAACTGCCCTCCTCTGAGCCCCTCAGCAGGACCTTCGTGTACCGGGATGTGACCGACTGTGCCAGCATCACCGGCACTTTCAAACTGTTCTTGCTCATCCAGATGATTATGAACTTGGTCTGCGGTCTTGTGTGCTTGTTAGCCTGCTTTGTGATGTGGAAACACAGATACCAGGTCTTTTACGTGGGTGTCAGGATATGTTCCCCGACACCCTCTGAAAGTCAGCAGCAAAAGGTCTAACATTCTTGCTCAAAGGTGGGAGAGAGAAGAGCACACTGACTAGCTGAGATTTTTTTTTTAAGAAAAAAAAAGAGATAAGAAAGGAAGAAAAAAATTAGCTTTTGACAATGAAAAATAATCACTGTTCTAAATGAATATTTTTATATTTTTCAGGAAAGGAAAGAATAGTTCCTTAAGTTTCCATGGTATTTTTAAAAAATCCTTCAGCTCCAAGCTGCCTTGGGAGTATTAAAAGAACACAGAACAGGGAAAGAATGTTGTAGATCTATTGTTAGAGTCTGGAGTGGATTCCTAATACACATTTTATCTATCATTTATATAATCTTCCCTGTTAGTCCAGTTTGACTTGGACAGTTTCAGGCCCACTTGCTAAATTTTGTAGCATCTTCCTCCAGGCCTCCCACCTTCCGCCATGATCGTCCCTACAACTCTGAGAAAGACAGGGGGCAGGGGAAGAGCTGAACCGCCAGGATGACTCTCTTTTTTCCCCTGGTAGGATGATTTCAAGGCATGAAACAGCTTAAAAGAGCAGAGTAAAAAAGAAAGAGACTTTGCAAAAGGCTAAATAATTATAAACACCTGGACTGGGGCGGCGGCCTCTTCTCCGCGCCCTTGCTTTGAATCTGTAACTTACTAAATGCTTCGGATGATTGTCTGCCTCTCAATAATTGAAAGTTGGTAGTCGTACTTCTAATGATGTAGAAGGTTTAAAAATAATTACATTATGCTTCTATTCCGTCATCTAAAACAAGTCGTTAAAACTAATTTCTAGCTAATTGTTAATTATAATTATGCTCAGAAGTCTATTTAATGAGCCCTGGCTGTATTTCCGTAGCACCGGCGGTATTAGGAGAAATTACTCTCACAAGAGAGGAGGCTTAAAGATCCTTTCTTCTGAAAGCCAAGCTTTACAAGGGAGAAAAAAAATTTTTTTATTAATAGCTCAGGTTAAAAATACTCACTTAAACAAAACCGAGAGCATTCATCATGGGAAATGTTTATACAAATGGCACTTTTGTGATATGTTGTGAAGTATCTCTCTTGGCAGCTAAGTACTTTGGAGGAAGATTGGTTAGTGTTGATGTGTCCCATTCATGAAACTGTATCTGATATGGAATTCTATTACTTATTTGTATGCACAGTCAGCTAGAGACTTAAACCAGTGTTTTGAAGTCCTCATTTGAACATTTGACCATTGACTTGGAGGGTAGTTTTTTGTTTGGTTTTTTCAGTCACTGTGACTTAAAACAGCACAAGTACCCTGTGATGGGAAGACTTTTTTCTAATTATTGTTATCATTAAATTTGGAACAATATCAGTCTTTTAAGGAAGGAGCTCAGAATGCAAATTCATGTAGCATAAATGTTACTAAAAACTTTTATCAGTATGCTCTGCTGAGAGCAGAAATTCAAGACAATAATTGAGCTTAATTTGCTTCTCCTCATTGCCTATTGACATATGTTTACTAATCATTAAATTCTACTCTAAAAGAAAATCCTTTCCTTGTTTGCCTTAAGATAGATGAATAATTCCATCAGTTGTGATGATAGTGTCAATTATTACACAATATAAATATCCAAATAAAAAGGGAAATGTTAAATAAGTTAGTTGGAGGATTGTAAATTTTTTTATGCCCTCCAGATAAAACACTTGATTAACAGATGTTAAAACCTTTTTATGTATTGGCTTGCTTTAAATATGGCCTTCCTACACACTAGCTCAGGCCAAGAATGCACATTCGGGAACTTAGTGGATCAGATTCTGGAGCAAAGATTTGATCACACACAAATTACATCAACTCAACACCAAGACTCCTGAAAAAATACTTTGGTCTCTGTTAAAAGAAAAAAATCTCGGGAGGAGGGTATAACTCAGTGGTAGAGTGTGTGCTTAGCATGCACAAAGTCCTGGGTTCAATCCCCAGTGCCTCCATTAAAATAAATAAATAAATAAAAATAAATTACCTCCCCCACCAAAAATTTTTAAAAATAAATACATAAAAATAAAATAAAATTTAAAAAATCTCAATAATTGAATCCATCTTGATTCTGACAGTTTCCTACCAAAAAAAAAAAAAAGAGTGAGAATCTGCTGGCTCTTTAAAGAGTGAGAAACTAGAGCTTTAATGCTAATTACTATGAATCAGGCGCTCCTGCAAGCACACCTTGAATACCTTAACTTTTTATAGCAAACACTACAATTTTTTTGTATCAGAATATTAAATTCCGCACAACATTAAGGTGCTCTATGCTTCACAGGCGATTCACAGGGTAGTTCAAATGGCAGAATAACTCTAGCTTACATGCTTCCTTTTTCTAAATAATGCAGCCACTAAGAGCTGGTGTGGTGATAAGCTTGATAATAATCAGGATATATATATATATATATGATGCATATATAGCAGGGATTTTGCTATTGTGTGATCGAATAATTCTTAAATCCCTAAAGAAAGAAAAAATCATAAGTGAAAGAAGAAACAAAAAATAAAATCAAAAAGGAAAAGAAGTCAAGATTTCTGTGCTGCAAACTCACTGTGTATTGATACGTGTGAGAATTGTGTCGCATGAATAACAAACTGCTTTGGGCTGGATTTGAAGTATTTTGGGGTTGTGTTTTGCAAATATTGAAGTTACAGTGATGGCAACAGAAAAGGAACAGATACACAGCTTTACACTTTAGCAAAATGTTACATTTGAAATCTGACAAGGCGCCAAGATGGTGACTGTCTCATCTAAACCATAAAACAGGAAGGTTTGCGCAATCATCCTCCTCTCCCACCTCCTTCAGGAGAATTAAATGAATCAAGACTTTGGAAAAAAAAAAGGAGGATAACAGCCGGGACTTGGCAGCACTTGAAATAGGAGGAACACAGCAGCCTAAATGTGCAGACTGTGTAAGGGAGCCCACACGATCCGTCTGCGCCTTCACGTGACCACCATCTGTGCCTGCCTCGCTCCATCCAAATTTGTGTAGGCAGCTCCTTGGAGCCATTCCTAAAAATAGAGCTACACCAGGCCCTGGAAACTGTAGTCAAGTAACAGGCCTAACTCTTTTCCCTCCTTGAGTTAAACCTCCGTAGGATCTCTTCTGAGGGCTTTCCGGCTGCAGACTTCAGTGCGTTTGGACAGCGAGGACCCAATATATGTGT